AAAACACACAAAGCGAAGAAAGAATGAAGAACTTCATTCAAAATGAAAGTACACTTTACAGTGTGGGAGTGGGCCAGAGCATAGGGTCTCATGGACGACGTTACAGAATTTGCGGGGGTTTATATACCCTCTAGAGATTTCCAATGGTTACTCGGTGTATACCCTATGTAAATGGAGAGGATGAAGTAAAGTTAAAGTCATTTACTCTGCATACACCCTCTGGAAAGGATATTTCCTGCCATAGTTTAAGTGTGAATCAGCCTTATGTTCCCTGTCTCCAGGCCCTACCTCTTATCTAAAATAAGAACTTGAGAAAACTCGTGCTAAATTGTCTTTTGGACTTTTTGCTTAAGCCTATTATCTCATAAGAAAATGTACTCTAGTATTGGACAAACTTCTTTATAATGTTGTATATAAATTTTCTTCCTTGTAGCATCTGGTACAATATAAAACCAACTTCATAATCCTGCTGGTTTCCTCATTAATTAAATTCTGACCCACGTTCACAATTTATGGATTCATATTTTAACAATTTGAGAGTTACATTTTGATAATGGGAAATACAGATTTGAGAATTGATAACACATAGATGCTATGAGAATGGATGGTATTCCAAAGGAGTGAATGTGGATAGAGTAATTCAAACACAAATATCTGTGACCTTCTAGTGATACGAGGTGAGGAAGATAAGGAGAAATCAGTTAAAGAGACTTAAAAAGAGTGACCAATAAGTTAGAAAAAGAACCAGTAATTGGGGTTCCTTGATTCCAGGTAAAGAATGCAAGTCAAAGAAGTAATCAATTGAGATAAATGCTGTTTAAAGGGCAAGAAGATGAGACCAAGAATGACCCCTGGATTTAGCAAAGTCGAGAGCTCTGGAAATCTTCAGAAGAACAAGTTTAATGGAGTAGTGGTAATGAAGAGGGGTGCTAAAAGCCTGAACTGGGTTGAAGAGTAAATAGGAAGATGGGAACTGAAGAATGGAAGAATAGACAATGTATTCTAAAAATTTTAGTGTGAAAGGAGCAAGGAAATAAAGTAATACCTGAAGGAAGTGTAGTCAAGGGTTTTTTTTTTTTTTTTAATTGGAAAAACCACAGAATATTTGTGTACTGATGAGAATAATCCATTAAAGGACGAAAACTAATGACACAAGAGAAAGAAGAGATAAATGCTATATGTCTACAATGTAAACAATGTGTGCATATCTCATAATGGGATGGAAGAAGTTGGTCTGAGGAAGAGAAACAAAGTTAGACATAATTTTGGATTATAAAAAAAATAGCTAATGAAGAAAGTCTTGGTGATGAGGATGCCAAAGGATTTCTAAGAACAATTATTACTTAATGCTGTACTCTGATATGTATCTTTCTCTTTCCTTTCAGCACCTTCCTCCATAGCTCCAATGATTCAGAGAAATTTGCTACACATAAAATTTGTGTGAGAAGGCCTTTTTCTGGAGGGGATATGGTGATGCTCTAATTGTGGGGAAGAGGAAAAGTTTGAGACTCACATAGTGAAAAATACGTGCTCAGCTCATAGAATTGTGAGAAAATCACATGCAAGCCCAAACAGAACTAACTCAACAGAAGTGGAAGCTTACAGCCCAAAGTAATTATGAAGATGTATGATCTCCAGGAATTTCACAGATATTTGAGAGAAGTTTTTGACATCTATGGGGTTTAGAATAGAGGTTCAACTAACGTTGCCTGCATCTAAAGGGAAAGCAAATTTCCAGCGGACATCTGATTACACGTAGCAAATATGAAAAAGGTAAAAAACAACAATGTGGGTGGTAAAGAGATTGCAGACTATCACCAGGCAAAACTTCATGGAGAAAATAAAGTGTAGAATGTCAGAAAGTAGTATGAATCTTTGTCCTAAAAGGTAGTCTTCAGGGAAGCAAAATGGGATACAAAAACAGTACTAAATTAGTGAAGCAAGGTTGAGATGGCCACAGTATTCCTTTTTCTTTCAACGCCTCATACACTTCAGTGCCAATCTTTTAAATCTTTCCTTTGTAGGCTTTCTGTAACTTTGCCTTCATGTGCAATTATAAAAGTCAGATCATTGTTATTACAGTATACAATAAGGCATTATGGGATGTAAAAAAAATTGCATTCGTCTAGAAAACGGTAGCTCAACAAGTTGAGAGAGGTGGATGGGTTTTGGTTGTGTTTTTCATATTCATGTGTTTTTCATTTCATATGTTTCACTTGTTGAAAACAGGATGAAAAGGATGAGGGGAAGTACCTGAAGAGTCATGGAAAATTTCCAGGTTTTTGCCTTGAGCAATTTGGTGAATGGCTGTGTCATTTACCTAGATGAAAAAGATTATCTTACTTGATAGAGAGAAGATTAGAGCTCTCCAAATAGAGATGCCTATGTATTTTTTTCCAGTAAGGGAGGGATACGAAGCAGGGAGGTACATATCTGAATCTAGAATTCAGTGTTGGGTATATTATGACGGCTAGTACAACTTAGGTTTCATTGTAGATGAAACTAGGCTTACTACATCCTGATGAAATAATATGGCTAAGAGAAGTATTGTTTTTGTTTTTGCTTATTTATTTTTATGTTATGGAAAATTGCAGCATGTTTGTAGTCTAGAGATACATAATTGAAGACAAAAGAAACATGGCTAATTTTGTAAATTGCTTCTTCTCACTGAACTCATGGTAAATATTTATTTTGTATTGAAGAATCACCTGTTGCAACAAGTAAAAAAGAATTACTCTAAAACGTTCTCCTTCCTTCCTCATAGGCTAGCTTCCACAGACAGCTCTTTATTCGACTGGATAATGCTTAATTAGAAGCTCTATCAACTTTAACCAGTCATAATGAGTGATGATCTTTCTTATTCAATTTCATTAAAGATTGATCCCAGTGATATATAATTAGTGCATTTTTAATTTATGACTTGTCAGTGTGCCTGTACATTTAAAATCTGAACTTGGGCCACTTGATCTATTCGTAATTATTTCTTTGTGTAGTCCAAGTTTTCTAGTTCTAGAAATATTTGAAACTTCTCTAAAGAACAGCATATTGACAGACATAATTTACTTTCTCAAACCCCAAGGCTAAAAATAATAGGAAAAAAACCACTCACGTAAACTTCATTAAGCAGTGCAACATTTCTAAACCTGCAAATGAAATGAACACTTACTTGATTTCAACATAGTTGTATTTTAAAAGATTTTTTTGCCTCAAGATGTAAATGCTTTAATTCTATTCTGGGCAATGTGACACTCTCCTACAAGGAAGTGGTAAATTAAAACTCACTTGAACCATCTGAATGTGCTGCAGAGAGAAAAGAGTGGATACTGGTAAGAAAAGAAATAAAAAAAAATAATTCACATGTACAGATTACTTAGCTACGATGTGTTGGTTGTAGCAAAGATTTTAAAAAGCATTTAAGGAGGCTGGAGATTCAACAAGCATATCAGTAACACATCATAAGCCAGTGGCCAAAGAATATAGACATTTTAGTTTAGATTGTTTCAGAAATGCACTGAAGCACAATTGAAGGAGTATAATTCTGGCACAGATAGCTAGGAAATGACACTAGCAGATGGATTGCACTAGTCTATAGCAATCAGAAATGAATTGCTCTGTGTGAATGGTTGAAATTTATATGTGCGATGGCTAAGAGATTCCTGCAGCCAGAGGCTTCAAAAAGATAGACTATTATCCAAGCAGCCCAAAATAAAATGTTAACTCTGTTAGTATCAATCAGTTACTTGCATGCACAATAATACTCTTGGGATGAACATCTTTAGACATAAGTGTCAACAATCAAGTTGATGTGCAGGTAGTTGATAATAGTCACTCATTTACCGGCATCTTCCCTCTACACCTCCAATCCTCCAAGTATCAATACAGTAGGAAAATCAGCAGCTTTTATTATTCCATTTCCCCAAATATTAACCTGACCCAAAGTTGTCGTCTACTAAACTACAGCCAAATTGGCAAGTTTGAATGACGTGGCAAGTTCAGTTTGTTATGGCTCATGTAGACAGCTCTTCCATGGACAGAACTAGTATTCTTCAACCAAACTGGTATGACTAGACTTTCATTATGTATAAAAAAAACCTAAGCAGAAGTTTCTGTATATACAGATAAATGGGAGCATGAAGAATGTGATTATGTTACAGAATTTGGCACACTATTATTGGAGGAAGGAAAATATGACGAAGTTAAATGCAAGGAATGTTAATAATTTTATTAAGTATTAGAATTGTGTTTCTCAACCTCAATAGAAATAGGCTTTGTCTAAACAAAATTGAGAGGCACAGAAGACTCAAGTTAACTAGATATATGGTTGCTATTATTTTTCTTGCACTAAGCAAATTAAAAAGGTCTTTAACAATTTAGTTCTTGACACAGATGAAGACTTGATTTAGATGAACAAGGAAAAGAGCATCTGAAATCCTTTAGCTGGTTTTGAGCTACTAATGAGTTTTCGCTTCTCTCCATTGTAATTCTGCTAGGCTAGACTGAGGTGCCTTAATCCTGAGCCTCCAAGGTGCTCAAGTCCAGAAGGCATCATGATGTATGTAAACAGCAACTCTGATTTTGTGTAGTTTACTTAACAGCTATATGTGACAACAGGCGGTTTTGATTTTGGCTTTATTGCTGAATTTGGTAATCTTAACATTAGGAGTACTGCGTAGCTACGGAAGATGTCTAGATCATCCGGGGTTGTGGGAATTAATCCTGGATTCATGCCATCAAACTTTTGACGATTTCAGAGTATCACTTGGATTTTTAAAGCTTTATTTCAATCAGTACACAGTGATACATATCTTTTATTTCTGCTTTGCTTAGAGAATAAATGCCTAAGGTAAAAGATTATTACCAAATGTTGAATTTTTCTCATGCCCTTGTTGACAGTTAATAAACCATCAATAAGTTTATGGATTATAGTTACAAACAATAGCAGGATTTGACACACCTGAGTATATGATGTAAGTGCCATGATTTTATAAAAATAAAATTTATAAAATGAGATAAAATGTTTAATTTCAAACTTATCCATTTAGGTCTTATTTTTCTATTGCTGATAAAATTCAGAAAAAAAACGATTCTTTATTGGGAGACTAAATGAAAAGCCTGAAAATTAAGATTGTTACAAAATTTAGTCACTTCTTATCAAAAATATACTTCTCTCTCATCATGTACACTACATTCAGGGATTAAATTTAAGAGTGACTTACTTTTTTTTTTTTTTTTTTTTTTTGCCTAGATCCTTTTATTAAAACACACATTTAGGTTAGAATCATTTCCTAATTCATCTTTTTTTCTCCACATTTCGACATCCCAGAAAACAGAATGTGCCTTACAAATGATAGTATAATAGCTATTAGTCAGGCAGCAATAGTCATGGAGTTGTTACTTGCTCACATGTGAACTTGGTCATATCTGTGTATATGACTGTCATTTCAGTTGAATTAGGTACACTATTGGTGGTATGTGTGTGCTACTATACACCAAGCAATACATCTCAGAGCAAGAGACCTTGATAAGTCCTTTGAACAGAACCATTTCAAAGCAACTGGAGTCCATGCATTGTGCAGGATTATGGTTAAAATTCAGATTAGGTAAAATACAGTAGTGAGCACTTAATAAACACATAACATCCTCTGAACATGCTGTAAGTAAATAAATGTTAAACAACAGCTATCATATATTTTCTTTAAAAAGAATCTTGAAAAAGAAAAAATAAACACACAAATACCATATTTGAGGGCTTCAGATGGTCACTTCTGGTTTACCAAACAATAATTTTAATATTAACATGTTAATATGACCATCAATTTGTGACAAATCAATCACAGGTCCGATCTTCTAAGGACCTGTGATTAAACTGAAGCAAAAGTGAAACTGAGTTTTGTCAAACAGAAGGGTATCAAAACTTGCAGGAGTGTGGGTCTGCAGTTAGGTAAAAAATAAAGCCAGACATAAGTGTGGTAAGAGCACTCAGGAAATACAGCCTTACCAATAACTCTGAAAGCACAGAAGGTACTAGGTGGACGTATGCATATCAATAGCTCTGAAAGTGCTGAAGAGTTTGAATGTGAAGCTGTAGAAATTTCTTGATGATATCTCAATATTTTACTTTTTTGTTATTTTCTATGTACATTCATTCAATATTTCACTTTTTTGTTATTTGATATGTATATGCAAGAGGGTTAAATAAAAATCTGTATTTAAAAACAACTAAAAGAGATCCCCAATAAATATGAAAATTTCAAGTAACAAAGCATTGTGTCATGTTTTATTGTGTTTTTCTTAATGGAACATAAAATAATGGTGATTCTTATAATTGATGGCACTTCAGATTTGGTAAAACTACAATTCTGAACATTTAGTGAATGACAAACATATAACATCCTCTGAAAAATCTGCAAGTAAATCAATCATTTTTAAACAATAGCTACCATGTATTTGTATCTTATCCTTGGGAAAAACTTTGGGGAAAAAAAAAAAAACCACAAACACAAGTATCATAACTGAGGGTTGTGGACAATTTACTTCTAGTTTACCAATTTTTACATTGACATAAAGTAGCACAGACTAGTTATTTCATTAAAAAAAACACACACTGACAAATCTTTTCTCTATTACACTGTAGTACAAAGACTTTTCACTTATATGCTTACACCAATATAGAAACACATAACTTGAGATTCCAGCCAATTTTTATTTTCTTGAAACTTTATCATCTGTGTATTATCTAAGTTTTTCCATTTTCCTGCCTGCTTCTTGATGTCTGCATTTGGACCAATTATTGTTTCTCAGCATCACCAGTGTGTGGATAAAAAATAAGATGAAAAGTAAATTCAGTTCATTCGGTAATTTCAGTTTTGTTAGAAGGACTGACAGGAGATAATACAAGTAAAGTCTATAGTGAAATTATATGATTATTGATGAATTTCAATTATTACTACCACTTTCCCCACAGATAACTGAGTTTTGTGCGCATATGTATGTGTTTTCCTATGGAATGGAACATAAAGGAAAAATTTAAAGATACACAAACACATGTTCAAGTGTATAATACATATGTACTTTTAGTTTCATTTTGATAAAATTAATGAGATATGAATTTTATCATCAATTTCAGAGGTCTTTGTATCTAGTTATTTATCAACTAAAATAATCACAATATATTGGGCACTCAGTGAATGTGTCAGCTATGGATTTGTTTCTGAAAAAGTATTTCTACAGTATTCCTACACTACTCTGAACATCCTACAGTATGCCATTTTTATTATTCAAAATAGAATTACAGTTGAGGAGAGAAGTGCCAGTGAATACTTAGAACTTCACTGGATCAAAAGCCTCAAAAAAGATGGAAAAATTCTAAAGATATGCTTAGAAAATTACCTTTAAAACTATGTGAAAAAACAGTGCTCCACAAATCAATCATTATTAAAAACTAAAATACTGATACACATCCAAAAAATATCTATTTTCTCAACTTAGTCTTGAAATATTTTTCTTCAAAAATGATTTATATGTACTTTTGTGCTATTATTATTATGCTACAGGAATTACATTAACATAATTTTCATTAATTGAGTTCAGTGAAACAGCCTACAGAAAATACCTATCTCGGGAACGTTACTCAAAAAGGCAAAGTGTACAATATTTAAAATGTCTCTAAATTAAATTGCTTTTTAAACTGATTTCTAGAAAAATTTGTTCCCTGTAAGTTATCATATCTTCTACATCTTTGTAGATAAGCATTTCTTCAATGGACAACAACTTATAGCTATTCAGGCTGAATGCTGACTTGTTCTTAACAGCATTTAACATCTTTAGGGATGTTGTAACTGAATCACTCAAAGAAGAACAAACTGGGAAAATGCGTGCAGTCCACAAACTCAGACACGTCTTGTTACCAGAGAACAGTTCCTCTGTAACTTTAAGATTCCAAACATCTAAGCATGACAGGAAACAGACTCCAAAGAATTGAAGTAACTTTATATCTGACAATGTTTTCACACTCTTTTTCAAGTTGTCTTGCACTCCAAATGCCATAGTTGAATACTTTAAGCATCTATTCATCTTTAAACTTAAGGAACACACAAAAGAATGTGCAGGGAGGGCAGCTTTTGTTAGGATATAAGAACCACTAATAATGCAGTTTTCCCCAACTGAAACATCAGGCCCCAATCTAGAATACTCCACAACTGAGCCAGGTGCTACAGAACATCTTGAATCCAGTATGCTTTGAATGATACAGGATGTTTTGCAAGAGCATTCTGGTATATCTGGAAAGATACTAAAAGTTATGGACTGTAAGCCGAGCTCTGACTTTAAACTGTTATCTGAGGTAAAGTAAAACAAATATTCTTCGGTTGTTCCAATGTGATAAAATTTGGAGTTATTAAGAACAACAACATTTAGTGATGTTCCTTTAAGAAGATGAAATATTCTCTGCCTCATTTCTACCAACTCTGACCCTTCTTTAACGACATTTGATGTGTTTCTGGTGTACTCCACAGTTGCTCCAGGTCCTAAAGCCTGTAAAAAGTCACCATAGGCATCTATTTCACAGCCCAGTGTGCCTATTTTTTCATAAAAAGCAAGTAACATTTTTGCTGATTTATGATCCATATAAAATAGGCTATCTGTGTAGACATAGTCAGAGTCTACTTTAAGATCGGCGATGTCACCCCCAGCAAAGTCCTGTTGACAAAAAATTCCAGGTCTACACACAGCATTAAATTGATACATCTTTTCTATGCTGGGCTTATGAAGAAAACGATGGCAAGATCTGTATTCAAGGTCTCTATGTTTTAAATCATCAAAAGGATCTAAGACAAATACTCCATGTGTGGTACCTATTGTCAAAGTAGAAGGATGAGCTAAAGCGGTAAAGCCAGGTTTGTCAAACCTAATAAACTCAAATTCTCCAATACTATAAAGTTCAATATCATCTGCACAGGTTACCAAAATTCCAGGATTCATATGTAAGGGGAAATCAATGTACATGGCTAGTTTTAATTCTAGCATCTGATAAATGGGGTTACCAAGAGGTAAAGCAGTGAAAATTTTTCCCAGAGCACTTGCATTTGGAAGTCGTTGACTGTAGCCACCTATAAAATTAAAACAAAATAACCATTTAAAAATGTAGTATTGTTTATAAAATTTTCAAAACCCAGGGTTTAATAACCTGTAAGTTACAAATCAAAATATATTTAAAGATATTTAATATATACCATGTGTTACTGTAAATCAGGAAAGAATAATGAAATCCAGATTAAAAATTCAAAGAGAAATTCTCTTGTTGCCATGTGATATAACACAATTTTAAAAAGTATAGGTCAGGAAAAAATTTAAGTATACTGTAGAATCTGTGAAATGTTTTGAATTACATGTATAACAAACAAGAAGGACCATGGCCCAAAACATGATGTTGTATCTACATTTTTTTTCTTTTTTTCTGAGATGAAGTCTTACTCTGTCACCCAGGCTGGAGAGTAGTGGCGCGATCTTGGCTCACCACAACCTCTGTGTCCCAGGTTCAAGTGATTCTCCTGTCTCAGCCTCCCAAGTAGCTGGGATTACAGGCGCCTGCCACTATGCCTGGCTAATTTTTGTCTTTTTAGTAGAGACGAAGTTTCACCATGTTGGCCAGGCTGGTCTCAAACTCCTGACCTCAGGTGATCTACCCGCCTCGGCCTCCCAAAGTGCTGGGATTACAGGCGTGAGTCACTGTGCCCAGACTGTATCTACATTTTAAACAACAAATTTCAACCATGTTTAGACTTCTAATTAAGAATCTACTTCACAGAAAATAAAATTATAGAAAACTAATATACTAATGCTAAAATACAGTCATTTGCTTCTTTACAACATTTCGCTCAAAGATGGACAGCATATATATAGGTTGTCCCACAAGATTATAATGGAGCTGAAAAATTCCTATTACCTAGTGATGTTGGAGCCATTGTAAAGTCCTAGCATAATGCACCACTCAAGTGTCTGTGGTGATGCTGGTATAAACAAACCTACTGTGCTGCCAGTTTACTAAACTATAGAACATAAAATTATGTACAGTATACAATACTTGGTAATAAATGACTATTTTACTGGTTTTTGTGTTTACTATACTATACTTTTCATTGTTATTTTAGAATAAATTCATATGATACATACCAAAAAAGGTTAAAAATACAATGGCCTCTGGCAGGTCCTTCAGCAGGTATTTCAGAAGGCAGCATTGTTACAGGAGATGACAGCTCCTGAACTCTAGTAGGACTACAGAGGTAGAAGACAGTGATACTGATGATCCTGACGCAGTGTAGGCCTAAGCCTACACTATTTTTGTGTCATCATTTCTAACCAAAAAGTTTAAAAGGTAAAAATAAAAACAACGGAATAAACCCTAATGATATAAAGAAAATATTTTTGTACGGCTGTACAGTGTTTGTGTTTTAAGCTGAGTGTTATTACAATAGAGTCAAAAAGTTAAAAAAATTAAGAAGTTTATAAAGTAAAAATGTTATAGTAAGCTAAGGTTAATTTATTACTGAAGATCAATAATACATGTAAAGCACTTGGCAGCACACAGTATATTGTTCAACAAAAGGCAGCTAATAACTTTCTATTTTTTCTTTTTCCAAAGACCAGTCAATAGTAAAGTTTAGTACTAAGAATTATCTATTTCCAAAAAACAAAAATAAAAAAAAAATCTATGCATTTCCTGGTATCTAAATTTTTACTAAACTGATAATAATAATTATTTTATTAAATAAAATTGTAAATTAGATTTTTTTTACACATTTTTAGTCTTCAAACCAGAACTTGGATGCTTTACTTTGACATCATCTTTACAAAGAATCATTGTTTTGTATGTAAATCATAAGAATGAGAAAGTGCTTTGGAAGCCATGTAGACAAACAATTCTAAAATACCTGTCCCTGGACTGGTGTCGGTTCATGACAGTTTTCATTAATCCCTTAACATACAGAGAAAAACAACAAAGGTTTTCATGTAACCAAAATTTTCGCACAACTAAATGTATTCAATTTAAAAAGCTATTCTTTATTGTGAGGCTATGTCCTTCCTACTTTTCTTCTTTTAAAATGTCTTATTTTATGTGTGTGATTTCTCTCTTACATATTTACTTGTTCATTCCGTATACTGTCACATTTTCCTTTTATTTTTAAGCATTGTGGCCTCTGGCTACCAATAATCACACAAAAATGCAAGATAAAAAGTACTGGCAAAAGTCTAGTAATGACCGTGTTAAACCAGCCTTCCCTCAAAGCAAGAATCCCCATTAAGGGAGAAAGAGCATTAGGTAAAATAGCTAATGCATACTGGCTTAATACCTAGGTGATGGGGTTGATAGGTGCAGCAAAGAACCATGGTACGCGTTTACCTATGCAACAAACCTGCACATGTACCCTGGAACTTAAAATGTAAATTAAATGTAAAAGAAAAATCCCCACTAAAGCATTCCTGAGAACTATTCATATTTGAATGAGTTGTCTTAGGAAAATAATTTTCTATATACATACCCAAAAGAAAACAATATTCATAAAATGTTGACGATATATGTGATCTACAATTTTATGAGTAAAATTTGTGAAAACCACTATACTACTTACAACCTAAAAAAAAAAATGAACATCATGAAATATTTGTTTTCAAAGCAGAATAACTTCAAAGATTTTTTTTTTAGAAGAGAAGGAAAGTGTTTGCAAGACAGAAAAAAGTCTCTAAAGTATTAAAGGTGGAAGACTAAAAAGAAAATGTAAATTAGTAAAGTATAACATTACCAGAGTGAATCAATAGGATGATAAAAGAATTCCATTTATCTCCATATAGCTTTTCCAAACGTTGAAGGGCACAAAGTGTTGATCCTCCATTTCCTTAAAAACAAAGTTAAAAAAGCACAATTTATTTAATAGAAACCTACTAAAACTTTGTCATGATGGTAAATTTAGGTGTTATAAAACCTTGAGGATTTGCCTTTCAGTTATAATTAAATAGATGGACACCAAAGGTATTGGCAATAGAACAAAATTAAAAATGTCACATAGCAAATAACCAATCAATAAATTAGCAATGAAACCCAGACAACAACCCTCAGTAATAAAAGATGAGGTAATATTTTCCCCAAAATAGTAATTATAAGAAAGAAGAAATAAATTACACAATCTGTAACATTAGAAGACTGATAAACATAAGCATTCATACAGAGTTACAAATCACAAAGCCCATTTAAATAATTCTCCCAAATGACACAATGGACAACACAAGTTAGAGTTCCTTTTGAAAAAAAGATTTTTAGAACTTGAATTCCAAAAAAAAAAATTAAATATAACTACCACACTAGTTATCTTGGGCCAGTTATCTAACTCTCAGTACCTCAGATTCTCATCTACGGAAATAATATCATGCCTGTAATCCCAGCACTTTGGGAGGCCAAGGCGGGTGGATGTTGAGGTTAGGGGATCGAGACCATTCTGGTTAACATGGTGAAACCCCGTCGTCTCTACTAAAACAAACAAACAAACAAAAAATTAGCCGGTCGTGGTGGCAGGCGCCTGTAGTCCCAGCTATTTGGGAGGCTGAGGCAGGAGACTGGCATGAACCCAGGAGGCGGAGCTTGCAGTGAGCCAAGATCGCCACTGCACTCCAGTCTGGGCAACAGAGCAAGACTCCATTTCAAAAAAAAAAAAAAAAAAAAGAAATAATAAGAGTACTGACCTCACAGTTGTAAGGATTAAAATAACATTGGCTAATTAGAATAATGCTAATGTCATTTACAGATATCCTATCTCTGGTATCAAGGGGCTTCAACTTTAAGTATCACATAGAAAATAGCCTTCAGAAAAACAGCATTTATTTCTATTTGCAATGGAAGGTCAAAGGGCAAAGTTGACCTAAACTAGGGTTTTCAAATATGTGTATTATGATATTTAAGCCATGTGACAGTGTTCTTTTGCATTATGTCCTCAAAAGGCCAAGAGTATTTTTTCCTACTACTTTGCTTTCTTCATGTAAACTGCTGGAGGAACTTTGGAGTGGAGAGGACCTTAAGAGCTCTACTGATAAGGTCCAAAGGAGTATTCCTATCTGAGTAGTGTAAATTTCATAAAAACTGATAAAATTATCTTTTAAGTAACATTCTGGAAGTTTTTCAAGGTAAGTCATAATGGGTAAGAACAGTTGCTATTCCTTTTATCTTTCTAAAAAAAGTGAATTTACGTTCAAATTTTAAAGTTTATAAAGCTGTGGGTAGAGATACGCAGCTTATACACTGTAAGTCACAGAAAAGCTTTTCTTCAATGATTATTCCGCTTAGGACCTACATTATAAATCTGACCATAAAGCACATACCAATTTTGGCTCCAGCAGGATCTACAAAAACGTGATACTGAACTCCAAGGGGTAACTCCTTTCTTTTCAGCTTTTCTGACAGCTGGTGGTTGTAAGCAAGTTCCTGTTTTTCATCAGCCGCTGTTATTGCAACTATGTCCCAGAATTCTCCAGGTGCTACCAGTTTGCCTATTTGGAAAAGGCAAGCAAATGACAACAAAAATTATTAGAATTTTCTAGTTGCCACAGGTTTGCCTACTTAGAAAGAAGAAAAAGAAGGTAACATCAATTACCATCTTCCAAAATGTATCTTTGGCTTTTGAGAGTTAGGGAATAATCAGTGGTGCATTAGTATGATTCAAAATAGTTACAATGAGGACTGTTCACAAGTTCCTTTGTTTTCTCTCTTTTAGATCACTCCCTCCTTTTATGGTCTACAATCCAATTTAATTATAAATGCTGAACGATACAATGTTTCTTGATTAAGAGAGCGACTTTTAACTTGCCAAAGACTATTGCCTCAATTCTTCAATAAGAAGAGGAGACAAACAAATCTCCAGTGTTGCAAATCAATTCTTACGTATCAGGGACACTTAGTGTTAGGTGACTGAGACAGACACAACCCAGGCCAGGAGCGGTGGCTCACGCCTGTAATCCCAGCACTTTGGGAGGCCGAGGCGGGCAGATCACGAGGTCAGGCGATGGAGACCATCCCAGCTAACACGGTGAAACCCTGTCTCTACTAAAAATAAAAAAAATTAGTCGGGCGTGGTGGCGAGCACCTGTAGTCCCAGCTACTTGGGAGGCTGAGGCAGGAGAATGGCGTGAACTCGGGAGGTGGAGCTTGCAGTGAGCCGAGATAGAGCCACTGCACTCCAGCCTGGGGGACAGACCGAGACTGCGTCTCAACCAAAAAAAAAAAAAAAAAAAGACAACTCAAAGATCCATTCCATCAATGTTGCTGTTTATAAATGTGGGTACTTTATTTTCTATTACTTTAAGATAAACCATGCAAACTTACATAGGCTGTTAGAACATAAAATTCTGGATAACAGAAAGTCCCAACTCTCTGATGACATCTTTAAAAGACAGTCTGCACTTTTAGTAGACAGTTGGAATCTCTTTATTGGTAAACAAAATGATTTAGCGTTTTAATTAGTTAACAAACAGAACCTGTCAGCTAGAATCTAATAGTCCTGAATATTTTACTGTTATCCAAGTATTAGTCCCAGTATTTTTTAAGCAGTCACTGCATCAGTAACCACTTTTATTAGCCAGTTGTACGGGGATTAAGTGGCATAGCCAATTTTTTGATAACAAATTTCTTCCTTTTAATTTTTAATCTATAATCCCTCCATGCTCTGTTACTCCCTCAACAAACGTTTACATTACAGAAGTAGATGAATGTAATGTAAACAGTGAAGTTTACATTAGGGGGTTGGGATCTACTCATAAAGGTCAAAATACTGTGCTTAATATCTTTTAGATTTATTTAAAGTAACTTTTATTAATGAGCTAATCAATGAATAACTTCACCAGCTTTTCTTTCTTCTTCTTCCTCCGCCCTCATTTTAATATCTGTACTACTAAGAATAAGCAACAAGCATGTCAAGCAGGGACAGTGAAAAGAATAAATAAAAACTGAAAAGGATTATTAGCTAGCTACTCCTGGGGGACGTCATAGGCCTGCAGATGAGAAGCAGACGGGAAGTGACAGTCCAACAAACTTCCTGGCACGCAAAAGCACCCTCCCTCTGCATTGCCCAGGAGAACTCGGATGCCTTCTCTGGTACCTCTCAGCTCGGAAAACCTCCGCAATTTTCGCTGGGTGGCTTCTCGCAGCGATACTTCCGGAGGGTCCCTAGCAGCTGCCATAGCCCCACCTTCCCTGAGACCGCGCTGCACAGCACGCATGCGCCCTGGGGTGCGGCGCGGTCCGGTTATTTCTGGCCCGCCCCCTCCGTGCGTCGCTCACGTAACCACGCCCCGGAGCGCCTTGGCTGGTTCCCGGAAAACCCTGATGTGGTGAACCTGGATCTCGTCTTGTTTCTCTAGCAACGGTCTCAGGAGCAGATGGCCACCCAGCGATTTGTCTGACTGTGTTGGGTCTGGGCCACTTGTCTCCAACTCATAAGGGCTTGCGGCCCAGTTGACCCGGTGAGTGGTTCAGGTTGGGTTACAAAATTGTTAGAACCGACCCGCTAAGGATAACGCGAAACTACAGTCTAGTTTCCCAACTTTCACATCAAAGGCGATTCGTCCTAACTGGTGATTTGTTTCAGCCTGGAGCAGTTCCCCAGGAGATCCTGATGGAAGATCTCCCCCATCTGTCCTTTCCCCCCCGCCACCCCAGGTCATCTGGAGCCATCTGCCCCCAACCCTGGGTCATGATATGTACACAGTCTGAGTATTTAAAATCTGTTCTTTTTAGGAACCTTAAGTTTGTGGTTCCTAGAGAGTAAGCCACCCCACCCCTCTGTTTTTTTCTTGGTAGGCTACACACGACAGCCTCTCAGATAGTGTCTTTGGAAATTGTATAAAATTCAGTCCGCAACCAGGCTCCAAATATTTTTGATATTTTGGTTTATTTTCTGTCATTCTTTTGTATATGCAGATTAATCTAGAATGTTCAATAGCATTCTTAGAAATAAGTCGGTCTTTTTAGGTGTATTTTGGGTAGCTATGTAGAGGTGTTCCTGTTGTAGAACACCAGGTTTATTAGTTTTACAGAGCACTTCATCTTTACACAGAAGAAAACTGAATCAGAGAATAGTGACTTAGTCAAGCTATCACAATTAGTAATAAAAGATGTAAGAAATATATTTCAATCCCAAACCCAGAAATTGTGCTATTTCATCATACCGTTTGATTTTTTGAGAAGATTTGTCTGTATCAAGGTCTTCATTAGGTACGTAGGCATTCAGGGCACCATAAATGTACTTAGTTTTTCTTCTCAGACTTGTTATACAATCGTGTTCTAATAGTGGAAGCATGTGGATAAAATGGCAGATTAGATTACTCTTTCATAGTTTTGTCATTTAAAACTTTTCATTAATTAAAAAACGGTGTCTTACTGAAGAACATTTAGAAAATACAGAGACTCTCACTCAAGTCTCTCACTCAAGTCTCTGTATTTTCTAAATGTTCTTCAGTAAGACACCGTTTTTTAACCAAAAGAGAAAGTAGCGAGAGAAGGTCAGAGAGGGAACAAAGGGCCATAGAAAGAATTTTGGGTTTTACTTGTAAGGGAAACAAAACCATTGCAGGGTTTTGAAGTGACGTGCCTTATGTTTAAAGAGATCACTCAGAGATACGAGAATAGATTATAATGGGGGATGAGGCAATGATAGAAGCAGGGAGACTTGCTTGGAGGCTACTGCAATAATGCAGGTGAGAGTTGGTGAAGGCTTGACCAGGATGGCAGCAGTGGGGATGGTGAGAAGTTGGTCAGATTCTGGATGTATTTTTAAGACAAAAACAATAAAATATGCTGATGGAATTAATGGGTGTGGACTGTAAGAGAAAAAGAGGAATCAAAATGACTGCCTTGGGATGGCCATCAATTAAGATGGGTAAGTTTCTGACTGAGGAAGATTGTTGGGGTAATAGAGTCCAGAATTTGATTTTGGACATGTGGAATAAACAGACATATGTGTGTGCAGTGAATACGTAAGGGAAGTTTGTGTGTGTATATGTCTGCATTATACATATGAGTCTAGAATTCAGGAAAGAGGTCTGGGCTGGAGATACAATTTTAAGAATTGTCAGCAAGAAGATAGAAATAATTTTAACTGTGGAACTAGGTGAGGTCCCAAGGGAATGAAGGTCAGCAGAGCCTGTATGTCTGGGGTCTGTATATTCTAATAAGGTGAAATAAACAAGAAGTAACCAAATAAAAAAATCCAGTGGTAACAGTTGTAAGGAGACAAACGGAGTGATGTGTTAGATTCTATCATTCAGAATATTAAATAGAGTATTTCTTGGATCTGGGATGGTGTCATACAGAATATTAAATAGAGTATTTCTTGGATCTGGGAAAGATGGCCATAGAAATGGGAAATTATTTTTTCTCAATATGACTATATCATGCAATCAAAATTTGCTGGAAATAAATATACCATATTATCGGCTATGGGGTCTGTTCTCTTTCTTTTCTCAAATTTTCGTTAATGTTAATTTTTAAGTAAAAAAACTAAAAAACACTGTATATAAGCCGGGCGCGGTGGCTCAAGCCTGTAATCCCAGCACTTTGGGAGGCCGAGACGGGCGGATCACGAGGTCAGGAGATCGAGACCATCCTGGCTAACACGGTGAAACCCCGTCTCTACTAAAAAATACAAAAAAACTAGCCGGGCGTGGTGGCGGGCGCCTGTAGTCCCAACTACTCGGGAGGCTGAGGCAGGAGAATGGCGTGAACCCGGGAGGCGGAGCTTGCAGTGAGCTGAGATCCGGCCACTGCACTCCAGCCTGGGCGACAGAGGGAGACTCCGTCTCAAAAAAAAAAAAAAAAAAGAAAAAAACACTGTATATATGAGTAGGAGTATATTTCCATGGCAGTTGATTGTTGGGGGCCAAAAAAGTATAGAGATTTTATTTAAGTTCATATTCAAAATAATAAAACAGTGCGATATGATTGTTTAACATCTTAAGCTACTAGAGTATTATTTTACTAGAGTATTCACCACAGAGTTTTTCCATTTATCAGAATATTTTCTGTTTATCAGAATATTATTTTACCAAAGTAAAATATATCAGTCCAGCCAAGCTGTAAGCCCATTAATTCTGCACAAATCGAACACACAGGAAATAATCTATTTAGTTTTGGATTCCACATTTTTAAAAAGACATTGAACATACTAGACTATAATAAATTGAAAAATTATATTCTATGGAGGCATTTGGGCTTTTTATTTCTTGGAGGATAGTAGAGAGTATCTGAAGAGCTGCCATAAGGAAGAATGAGATAGATTTTTTAAAATAACTTTATTGAGGTACAGGTTTAGAACATTTTCATCCCCCCATTAAAATGCCTTCTAACCCATTTACAGTTAATGCCAGTTACATTGTTTTTTTTTATTTCTACAGACATAACTATGACTGTTGTGTGGAAATTATAGAAAAGCATGTTTTAATTTCCCCCCCTTCTTTATAGGAGGAAGTTGAAGCCAAATGAATAGGGTCCTGGATTATGTACTGTGGAGCTCATAGTGCATGCTGTGGTCAGGCCAACCTAGGACTGTACTAGTTTCCAGTCCTTGTGCTTCATGGCTGTGTTTAACCACTGTTTCCTCCTGCTACCCTTCCTGACATGCAACAAAAGCAAAAATTCTCTTTTTGCAGTTTGTTTTATTTGAATTTATTTACTCAGCTAGCCTGTTCCCAACTTATTTCTTAAATATTTTTTTCTCACTATGCCCTGTTGGAGGAACCCTCATACCCCTCAACTTTCCGTAGTGCAAGGAAACATTGTCCCACCCTTGAACTTTTATTATACTTCCTCTCTTAGTATTTTGTGGAATTTTTTTTTTTTTTCCAAATGGAGTTCCCCAGTAGTGTAATCATAATCTACTTTGTCCAAATACCAACATGAGGTTTCGGGGAGGGGAAAGGGACAGGGAGAGGGCAAGTACTTGAAGACTATAAATTAGTAGAGTCAAGAATTAAATTTTAATTAATGTAATACAATATTTATGGCACTTAAGAGAAAGGTATTAATGGCTTAATTTTAGGAGATACAAAATCTGTTCCGTGAAAACTAACCAAGGAGTGTTTTGGGCTAGAAGAAATATTTGTTGTGCTAATTTCCTTATTAAGAGGTTATGATTTTTGTGCAGATTATTTTCTGTGAATGTTTTTATTAATTTTGACTGTTTAATATCCATCTTCTGGCTCACCACCTTTTAGTTTTTTAGGTTTATGCTTTTGCAGTTTCCAAATTGGAATAAAAATACAAACTGAAAAATGGTGTCTCACAAAAGCTTTTTTTCTGAACAGAAGTATATAACTTTCTAAAATTTAAAAAGCCAATACATTTAAATAAAAAAGTTATAATTACAAATGAATTCTGATTCCTTGTTCTGAATGACTTTTCATGTCATTTGAAAACATATAGAATATGCCATGAAAATATGTTTTGTGCTATCAAGGTTATTTATATTAACTTAAAAATGCACTGTATTCTATGTTCATTTTCCAGGACACATGTACTGGTCTGACTGTTCTACTAGACTCTCCCCTTCTTAACTTGTAAAATATATTTTTTCTGTGATATAAAATCATGGCAATTCTTTTATATTTTTAGAGACAGGATTTTTATTTTTAGAGACAACCTTTCACCCAGGCTGGAGTGCAGTGGCAGATCATAGCTCACTCCTGGACTCATTCATTCTCTTGCGTTGCCCTCTCAAAGTTCTGGGATTATACGGGCATGAGTCACTGCACTGGCCTATGACAATTCTTTATTAAAATAGTCATTACTTAACAAATCTGTTATCAAAATAAAGAGTATTTTAAAGATATAATTTCTTTATTTTGTTAATAGAGAAGAGATAATATATTGCAGACATTCTAAACTAAAAATAAAGTTTGTAATCACAATATGTATAAAATATTACCGATTAGAATCCTTACAATTAGATTTTCTAAAAACTGAAGCTTTTAATTTTTTTTTTATGATTTGATTTTATATGCAGATATCTTTTTTTTTTTTTTTTTTTTTGAGACGGAGTCTCGCTCTGTCCCCAGGCTGGAGTACAGTGGCGCAATCTCGGCTCACTGCAAGCTCCACCTCCCAGGGGTTCACGCCATTCTCCTGCCTCAGCCTCCTGAGCAGCTGGGACTACAGGCGCCCGCCACTGTGCCCAGCTAATTTTTTTGTATTTTTAGTAGAGACAGGGTTTCACCACGTTAGCCAGGATGGTCTCGATCTCCTGACCTTGTGATCCGCCCGCCTCGGCCTCCCAAAGTGCTGGGATTACAGGCGTGAGCCACTGTGCCCGGTCTTATATGCAGGTATCTTAACAGCTGTTGTGATAATTCTGGAGTCCAGTATTCAGATTTCCATTTAATATTATAGTTCATGCTTATAAAATAAATTACTTTCATGTAGACCATCAAATCTAGTATTTTAATATATTACTTAAAATAATGATGATCTG